GCATGCCTGATCAGGTCATAGGTTCAATCCCCAGTACCACCAAATGAGAAGGAAACAAAACAGTAAGAACAAAAAATCTGCATCATGGCTCTACCTGGCACTCACTCCACAACTAGCAACAAGCTCTTCATAGCTCCCAGGAGACCTCACATCTATAGGGGGATTGGCCCTCCTACCAAACCTTAGGTAAGTGTAACTTATCAGCACCAATCCAGGATGAGGTGATGGGAGCTCAGGGAAGCCTGGAATAGGGGGCAGTGACTGGATTTGCATCCTGGCCAGATGGTCTCCACAACCCATGCCTTTGCAACCTTTTCTACTCTCATCCACTTGGCCTGGGCTCCCGGGTCACAGCAAAGCTAGCAATGAGCAGAGAGCAGAACTGGCTTAGGCCACCAGAGGTCCAGGCTGACATCACTATCCAGGTCAGCAGTATAGCTAACATGGAGGAAGAAAGCAAGAGCTGGAGGTCTAATCAAAAGGGCAGCAGGAGGCCATGGGACCAGCAACAGAGGGTGGAACCAGAATTTAAAGCATGCAAGGTCAGGGGTCAAACAAGCCAGATCAATCAAAGAGTTAAGTCACTTCACAGAAGGTGAGCCCTGGAGGAGGAGGTTTTAAGGGGATGGGTGAGAATAAAAGAACTAAGACTGACATGGCCTGGGTATGAGCCTGGGGCTGCTGGAAGCACTTTACAATGCCAAGAATGTCCCCTATGGTGTCTGCTGCACTATTAATGACACCCATTTTATAGGTGGGAAAATAACGCAGTGGTTAAGGACCTTGTTTGAAGCCTACAGTGTGCTGAGACCTAATCTGGGACTCAGAGCTGGTTCAGGAGAGCTGTCACCTTGTGTTCTACACACACATACACACACACACACACACACACACACACACACACACACACACACAGCTGACATAGGAGTGGACAGGGTTCCATTGTGGAGAGACAGTATCTAGCCTGGAGGCAAATGCCTTCTTTGTTTATCTTCCTGGAAATGACAGGCTGTTGGAAGAACTGTTTCAGGAGAAAAAAGCATGTTCGGTAACTGCAAATTTGCCACTTACTGATACCATCAGCAGCTTTCTAAGGAGACAAGTAGGTAGTCTCCCAGCAGTTGATGCAGCCCCAGGCAACGGAAATTAATCATCTCTTCTCATGATCTCGCCTCAAAGAAAATGATCACAGAGTCAAGGCCCACAACCATCCCCACAGTAGTCAGACGTGTGGCCGTTATCACTGACATAAATCAAAGGCAATGCCCAGCTTTTCATCAGATGCCTGAAGATAATTCCCCTGCCAGGACTCTGAGAGCCATAGCTAAAGGGTTAACATCTCATTTCCTCTTGTCTTTCAAGCCTTAATCCCCATCCTGAGCTGGGTACATTCCAGGCCCACCTGGAGCAGGTCAAGACCAGCCTCCAGCCCATGACTGGTCCTTCATTTCTCCTGGCAGGAGATTAGATGAGGCACCCATTAATCACTCATTACCTCTGTCTTCCCTGCTGGTCAGGCCTTGGGCAGCCTGCCAAGGGGCCTGGGAGGATGCTTGTGAGCTGTCCAGTGCCACCCTCCTGGGGACAAGACACAGAGGCACAAGCCTGGCTCAGGACTCCATGGACCACACCCAAGCAAAGGAAGAACACTGCCTATCTTCCGCCTAAGCTAGCTGCATGGCTCCCAAATCTACAGCTTAGCTGGAAGATTAGGGAAAGAAAGAGAAACAAACTACAAGTGGCCACTTTCCCCAAGACAACAATCACCAGGAGAAAAACTGCTGCCCACCTGCTGTTTGTGCCCGTTAGAGGACCCAGGGGGAAACTGGACAGGAAGTGGAGAGAAGACCGGATGCTGGTTGGATGGTTACCATAGTACAGCTGTGTGTTCAATGGCTGAGCTGGAGCACAGGGCAACAATTGTCAGTCCTTCAAACAGAACCTATGCCTGGGCTTCAAAACCATACCAGCCTCTAGGCCTCACTATTCCATTTTTATAAGATGGGGGTGGGAGGAGGGAAAATATAAAGAACTGTTAAGTGAGAATCTGTCATTGGTCAGCCACAACTCTAGGGAAGGAGAGTGGCTGTGGCTAGCCTGGCCTGGCCAGCCCTATTTGGAAGATTCCAGCCCATGCCATACCCTCACCAGCTTGAGGTTTTCATACCAAGGCATTCTGATCTTTCTTCTTAATGCTTGTTCAGACCATAGGTCAAAATGGCCAGGCTTAGATGCTTTCAGGGAGGGTGGCAAGAAGAAGGATGTGCTGTGCTTTTAAAGGCCTCTTTAACAACAACAACAAGTGGAGGGGGCGTAAGGACCCTCCTGAACTCACAACTGCCCACTACTCACCTCTTAAGGTCTGCTAAAAATTAAGTAAGTAAAAGTCAGGCATAGTGATACATGTTTAATACCAGTCCTGAGACAGGCAAACACAGGCATATGCCTGGGACTCAGACTGACACCCTATGGCCTGTGTGGCATACATGAGTGCATGAGTGCACACACACAGCTAAGCCCAGCATGGCAGCAATCACCCATAATCTCAGTGTTCCAGTACCTGACACAGGAGGATGACCAGCTCAAAGCCAGTCTGAGATACATGTTGAAGTCTTGTCAGGGAGAGAAAAACAGAGAAAGAGGGGGAGAGGGGGAGAGGGAGAGAGAGAGAAGGGGAGAGAGAGAGAGAATAACAAGCCATTTGTGATAGACTACATCACTATAGTCTCATCCCTGTCAAAAGGCAACCAACCTGGGCCTGAGGTTGTCAGAGCTATGTGTGCCCAAGTGTCAATTTCTCCCTCTTCTGCCCATGAGTCCTTGGTGTTCTGCTTACATGTGCACATGGATATTCATATTCATTCATCCATCCCCCCCCCCCCGTTGTTTCTTTACTTCCATTCTTTCTCCCTGGGTGGTCATTTCTTAGCTACACCCCTCTCAGCCCCAGGAGGGCAGTGATACCTTCTTGCTCTGGTAAGCCCCCAGCACTCCCTGGCACACAGCGGATGTTCAGAAGTATTTGCTGGAGGAAAATGAAATGGAAGAGAATACTGGGGAGCCATTGTGATTTCTTGCAAGGAGATGTGGTGAAGTCAGAATTTCAGCAATATTAATCTGTCAGCATGAAAGAAGATGGATTGCAATGAAGAGAGCCACCCAAGTCAGGAAGGGAAATTGTTACTGTAATTTGGACATGGTTTAAGGTAGGGGCAGGAAAATAATTTGAGATATCATGAAAGAATGTAGAAGGAAGGGGCTTTGTGATGAATGAGCTATGCATGTAGGGAACGGGATAAGGGTGCTGGGCGGGCACTTGAACATGATACCAACAGCCAATAGGGATAAAAGTGATGCCCCAGAGAACAGTGTGGAGGGCAGAGAAGGAAAGAGCCATACCCAGACTCTGTGGACAACAGACAAGATTGCTAGACCAAACCTTCAAGCCCTGACCTTCTTCCCAAACTGTATTTTGCCTTCCTTCGCCATGGCACAGAGGGTGAAGGCGAGGGGGCGAAGGCAGAACCAATGGCTCTCTGCCCTGTGCTGGGCATGGAGATCACAGAGTGAGCCAATGCAATCATTGTGTCAGTGGTGGCTCTTCACGTTCCCACCAGCCAAACTCATCCTTCAGGCTGGGCCTTTGGGAATCCCCTGCTCCAGTCCTGTAGAGGTTTATAGGAAAGCCCCAGGATTCTCATCTGCTCCCTCACACGAATTTTCAGAGTAGGGTTGCATTTGTCAAAGGAATTCAACTATGGTGCCAACAAAAATCTATAGGAATCGAGTAGGGCTACATTTAACTCACTTTTTTTTTTTTTTTTTTTTTTTTTTTTTAATGTTTGCTCCTTTGTACCCAGAGACCCAGTTAAGATTCTCTCAGGTCCAGCAACTGTGTCAGTCTCGCCTCTACCAGGTCAGAGACGTCAGTGATAGCAAAGATAACACAGTGGCCCTAAAAGGTGTGAGATCTCAGCTGATGTATGGCTGTCTCGGATGCAAAGAAACTCCTTGGCCTCCTGGGCTATTTCACTTACTCTAAATCCTAATGGACTTCAGCTCCCCAGATCCAAGGCTTCAGCTCACCTACTGCCTGCAAAAGGTGAGACACTGTCTGGTGAGGGGTGCACTTTAAACGGCACAGAAAGCTGGGGGGAACCACTTTAAAATCTCACTAGACCCATAATTCCACATGCTAAGTGGGTGCCTCAAAATCCCTCTTCCCAAGATACAATTGAAGCTATTTCCAAGAAAAAAATGAAACTTCATTTCCAGATCTCTCCCACTTCAAGGTGAGCAAGGTGGCCAAAAGCTAACTCTTCAATCATAGTAGGGCCACAGTTCTAGGAGCTGCACGTGATATATCCCAGGCTGACAGAAACACCAGGGCCGCTTGGGTTAGCAGCAATGACACTGGGTAGCAATGACTAACCTGACCTGGGAGGTCAGAGGCTTTCTAGAATCCAGAGTGGTGGAGGTCCCAGGCTGGGGCTCTGGGGGCGCTGACACTCCACCAGCTAAGCAAAGGGAAGCAAGCCTGGGGTACAAGTACAGCATGTGCAACTCAGGAATTCCCTCTGAGCTCAGCATATCTCAAGAGGGCCAGTTGGCTGCTTCCCTCACCCCTAGGTGGCCTGGCCCTAGAGTTAAAGGGTCAGGGGTGGAGAGTTAGGGCAGAGCAGACCTCCAGGAAACCCAGGAAACGGGAAGGGAGAGGGAAAGAAGAGGGAGGAGAAAGTGAAAAGGAAAGAAGAGGAAAAAGATGAAAGGAAGGGAATGAGGGATGGGAAAGGAGGGGAAGAAAAGTTCTTAGAAGAAGGGGAAATAAAGAGGAAGGGAAAGTGAAGAGGAGGGGGAAGTGGAAAAGAGGAAGGAAAGAGAAGGGAAGAGCAGGTACAACGTCCCTAGCTGCAGCAGGCTCCGACATACCCACGCGCGCCAGGCTGCGTGGCTGCCCGGGACTCCGGACCACAGCGGGCCGGGCTGTGCTATCTGCTCACCTGGCTGGTCCGGAGCTTCTGCCTCCTCAGCCCCGCGTGCTTCCCGAGCGCCGCCGCATGGACAGCCGCCCGCCCCGCACGGGCTCCCGCTGCGCCCCGGAGTGTCGGGTGCGCGGGCGGCAAGAGAGTGCCCAGCACAAGGCTCAGGCACAGAGTCTGCGGGCTGAGAGCGGCGCGGTCCGCGCGCCCTGCCCTCCCGCGCGGCCTCCCGCTGTCACCTCCAGCCGCCCCTGCCGCCCCCTGGCGGCCGCCTAAGGGAGAGCCGGCCCTGGCCCACCCCACCTCCCCAGGGATGAGGGGCCCTTTAAATCAGTGATCCTACTAGACCCTTGGGAACCTTGAGGAGGGACATCCACCAGGAGGGCGGTAGGGACAGAGGCTAGAGGACTGGAGGCTGGAGAGTGATGATCTTGGAACTTAGAGGGCCATGGACAGGGCTGGCCAAGACTGTCAATGGAAGAGCAAAGGTGAAGGCAGTGAGGACCAGAGCCTCAGAGTTAGAGGCTGCCTTCATCTTAGTGGCTTGTGGGAGGTTAAAGGGCAGCCTTGAGTATTGAAGAACAGCCACCAGATTGAGGCTGGTTTCCAGTGAAGCTCTCCTTTCTGGCTTCCAGGGTTAGAGGGAATCCCTAAGAGAAAAACTCCCAGAGAACCAGAACAACTCAGCATGCCTACTTGACTTAAAGTCTTCAGGCTGGGCCACAAGTGCCTTTGTCTGCTAAGCCACCTTGTCGGTTCCATTGCCAGTTTCTTGAGTCCAAACACAATGCTAAAACGTTTAAATTCAACCCAAGTGTCTAGAGCTGAGAGAAGGAATCAAGAAAATTTCTGTCCCTCCTTTTTCAGAGAGGGCAGGATGACCTTAAACAATTGAAGAGGCATTCGGGCACAGGAATAGCTCTCCCTTGATGTCAATCAGCCTGTTTGTTTATGGCTACCTCAAAAGCCTGCCTGCAGGGGAAGGGCAGGTGTACCTGTGTGCTAAGGTGGGCGGTGGCAGAATGCAGGCGCCCTACCTCAGAGCCAGGCTACATCAGACAGTGGGTGTGGTATGCTTTGTGGGAGCAGCAGAGGGGGTGGGGGGAATAGACAAGAAAGATATCCCACCAAGCAAAAAGAAAGCAAAAGGAGCGAGCAAGAGATGAGGCCAAAGAGGGAGAACCAATTTTGAGTGCCTGGCACCTGGGTACAGCAGGGGGTGGGGGGTGGCTGAGTCCAGCTGGTTCAAACTCGTACATTTTGATAAGAGGCACCTGATATGTGTGTAGTTAGAAGAATCCTGGTGTCTGGGGTCCAGATCAGGATCAAATAGAACTTCAAACTCTAATTCATTTCACCCATTTAAAACTGATAAGCAGGTGACAGCCCACACCTGCAATTTCCACCTTCAGAGGACAGGGCAGGAGGATCATACCCAGTTTGCAGCTAGCCTGGGCTACATGAAGTTATGTTTCAAATAGCAAAGACAATACAGCTGAGTTTAGTAATACAGCCTATAATCCCAGTTACTAGGAGACTAAGGTGGGGGGTGGGGGGAATGGAAGTTCAAATCCAATCTAGGAAATATAGTGAGATACTGTCGTAAAACCAAGAGTGTAAGCATGGCTTGGGGTGGAGGGCAGAACATCTGCCTGGCATGTATGAGGCCCTGGGTCTTTTACCCAGCACCAAGAGACACAAACAATTCTTAAAGGACAAGGGGTATTTATTAAACAGGATGCGGCAGGATAGCACAGGAGCAAAGGACAGGTTTCTTTATCACTTTACTTTTGAAAAAATGTTGGGTTTAAAGCTGCAAAGATAAAAAAGACAATAAATAATACCCTTATGCCCCTCCCCCTCCCCTTTTCTTCCCCTCCCCTTCTAATGTTACATGTCACATAACCAAAGTGCATTGTTAGTGACCAGACTCACCTGACCTAGGCTGGGTCTCCGGGACCGATTCTGATCTATTTAAGAAGTGTTCATTGTTCTGAAATATTTTGCTTGCATCACAGAACGTTCTCTTTACTCAGCCAAAACTAGTCAATGAGCTGGGGAGATAGTTCAGCATTTAAAAGTGCTTGCTGCTCTCTTCTAGAGACCAGAGCTCAGTTTCCAGCATTCATAGTGGGCAGGTCACAATCACCTGTGACTCCAGCTCTGAGGGATTTGACACCCTCTTCTGGCCTCTGTGGGCTCTGCCCACACATGGCAATCAATCATGCCGGCATACACATACACATAAACAAAAATATATCTTTAAAACAAACCCCAGTCATTATAAGCTGAGTTATTTACATAAGAGCACTTTAAATATTTGTACTAAAGTAGTAAGCTATGTATGTATTATGCATGCATGCATATATGTACATATGTATGTATGTATACACACTCCTCACTAAGGAGCCTGAGAATGCCTGAGAGGAAACAATGGCAGTATAGCACAGAGTCAAGTGGCTGGATATCCACTTGAGGGCAAAATCCGTGGTTAGCTGCTAGCATTTCAAGGTGGAAAGAAAACAGACATGTGCATAAACCCCTCACTTCAACCCCTCCTGTTGAGTCACTAGGATCCATCATGGTGCTTGTAAAGTTCTTTTCATTTTCCTGCTTGGAAACATATATACACTGTAAAGTCAAGACAGGCTTGTGCTCAGCAAAGGAATAACAGAGGCATGGTTCGAAGATTGAGCTTGTCCTCCTGACAGGATTTAGAGTCACCTAGGAGACATACCTTTAGTGTGTCTGTAAGGGGTTTAATTAAGGTAGGAAAACTCAACCCGGATGACTGCATGTGGGTAACACATTCCATTGGCTGGGGCTCCAGGCTAAACACAAAAGAGAGAGAAGACAACATTGGCACATTGATCCAGAATAAAGCCTTCCTTCTCAAAGTGGTCAGAGACAATAAAAACAACAATAAAGCCTCTTCAAGTGCCAGTAAACTTGTTGTTTTAAATCATTTCTTGAGGGCCCACAAGACAGTTCAGCAGGGAAGGTGCTCGCCATCAAGCCTGAAGAACTGAGTTCGATCCCCAGTGCCTACATGGTGGAAGCACTGACTGCTATGAGGTGTCCTCTGCCTTCCATAAACACTCTATGGTATATGTGGGCTCCCCTAACATAAATAAAAGGGTGCAATTAAAAATAAACTATCCATAACTATTTCAGCTTAAATTTTCTCTCCTGCTTGCCTCCTTAACTCATTTCCTTTCTTCCTCTTCCAGGGCTCAGGAATAGTAACTACATTCTGAGTCTGTGTCCTTGCCTATGGCTGGCTGCAACTTGACCTGTAACATGACTACAAGACAGACTAGAGACTAATTTGTCTGCAGCCAGTCTCTGGGATCACTGGGGTCAAGGCATTTAGATGGACTGTCAGGGGACTGTCAAGGATTCCCATGAAGTGTCCCAGAGGCTTCAGGAACACCTCGAATTATCTTGCTCTGACCTTTCTATTTCGATCACTCTCTCTTGCCCACATCCTGTCAGCAGAGATATGGAAGTGGCCTTACCTGGTACAGCACGACTTTCAGAATTCCAAACATTCCAATTATTTTTCTTTTTCCCTCTTTCAACCAGGAGGCAGCCTTCCATCTGAAGTTGCTTCTCACTAAGAGTAGTGATGCTGGAGGCAAGCAGGAAGGGCAAGATGAGCCAAGTGACACAAGAAGAGGGGACAGAAGGGCAAAGTTTGTTTTTTCAGAAAGAAGCAGCCTGGTGTATCCAGGGCTCAGAATGTAAGAGAAAAATGAGGGATATGAGGCAGAGGGTCAGCTGGGATGACTGGGAAACAGTTGCCAGGTAAATAATCACTAGATAACTACAACAGCTAGGACCTTCTTCCATCCGAACCAATAGAAGCTGCAGGCTGGGGCCGGAGTCCCTGCTGTCCTGGATGATGAATTAGAGAGCCTTCCAGTGAAGAAGTGGGAACAGCTTGAAGTGGTAGCTGCCAAGCAACAAATAGAGACATATATAGTTTTAAATAATGGAAGAAGCTGTTCTGTGCTAGCCCATTCCATGTCAGTGATGCTTATGAGCATTTCTGAATGTTGTGTCATTTTCAGACAAAAGAAAATTAATCCCAGTGGGGATGGCACTAAGCCCCTTTGGTTTTTTGGTTTGTTTGTTTGTTTTTTGTTTTTGTTTTGAATTACATTGAATATTCAATGTAATTAAAAAAAAATCATTCCACAATTCTCTTGTAATGAAAATACTCAAAACAAAATATAAGAAATCCATCATTATAAAGGAATGTTGTTTGCCTTCCCCTGCTTCCTGAGAGACTCTCCTAATAAGGCCTCATCCTTCACCCACTGCACAGTGCCTCTTGTACCTTCTGTGGTCAGTACTGCAAACCCCCAAGACAACTAGAAGGATGACAGAGCTCCACCAGCAAGCAGCTGCTGTGTTTGAAGCTAACCAACTTAACATTGCTGCAAATTATCACCTCGGACTCACTGGCAATTTCCCTCTTTGGCAAACTGGTTGGTGTTCTTGTTGAAGGGATGATGTTTAGTCAAGTGTGTGAGATTCAGCAAAGCCAGCAGGCACTGGCCAGGTGCAGCTTATATAGGAAAAAACCATAGACCAGGAAGACAAATGGAGTCTGAGTTGATGATTTCACTTTACCTCAATCACCTCTATCCCACCTGACTTCCAAAGACCACCTACTGTGGTCAACGGTGACACCTCACTAGATTTGACTGCCCTGGTGTAAATGTTATTTTTTGTGTGCAGCTAATTTTTGTGTTTTTGTTTACACGTGTGGGCTTGCACATGTGTGTGCATGCATGCAGAGACAGGAATTAACCTTGGGATTCCTCAGGAGCCATCCACCTTGATTTTTTTTTTTATTTTAATTTAATTTTTTCTTACCTTGTTTATTTATGCCTGCACATATGTCTGTGTACCACATGTGTGCCTGGTGCCCACCGAGGCCAGAAGAGGGTGTTAGGTCCTTTGAGGCTGGAGTGGCAAAGAGTTAGGAGGCACCAAGTGAATGCTGGGAATCAAACCCAAGTCCTCTAGAAGAGCAGCCAGTGCTCTTAACTGCTGAACCACCTCTTCAGTCCCCTTCCCATCTTGGTTTTTGAGATTAGGTCTCTCACTGAGACCAGGGACTCAATAATTGGGCTGCAGTGACAGACCAGTGAGCCCC